CGCCATCGCCTCGGCCACGGTGGGCGCCGGCGGCGGGGTGGTCGGGCAATGGCGGGCGGTGTGTCCCCACCTGGCCGCACCTGCTCCACGGCGAGGCGCGTGACGAGGCGCTCTTCACACCTGCCCGCACAGCTGCGCGCCGTGAGCCGCACCTGCGGCAGCCTCCCCCCCGCCCGCTCGACCACGCAGCATGAGGAGTCGAGGCCCGCTCCAGAGGCGCGCCACTCCGACCATAGCCACCTCCGCCGCCGCCGCCGCCGCCGCCGCCGCCACCGCCGCCACCGCCGCCGCCGCCGCCGCCGCCACCGCCGCCACCGCCGCCGCCGCCGCCGACTCTGCCACTGGCTCTGCTGCTGCCGCCGGCTTCGCCGCCGCCGCTGCCTCCGCCGCTGCCTCCGCCGCTGCCTCCGCCGCTGCCTCCGCCGCTGCCTCCGCCGCTGCCTCCGCCGCTGCCTCCGCCGCTGCCTCCGCCGCTGCCTCCGCCGCTGCCTCCGCCGCCTCCGCCGGCAGCAGAAGCGCGGCGGCGGGCGGAGCGAGAGCGGAAGGCGGAGGAGATGCGAGACGCGCCGAGGTCCTTCAGCACCTGTTCTCGCCGGTAGACATGTGCATGCACATGTGAAGAAGCCGCTGCTCCCGGCGCCGTGAAGAGGTGGCGAGGCGGCCGCAGCGCGCCTCGTCCGCGCCGTAAGACGGCGCCGGGTCTCTCTCCCGCAGGCACTGCACGATGTCCGCGTCCCAGCAGACCAAGTACTTGTCGCCGTCCAAGTCGCCGCCCGCGCTCTGGTCCGAGAGAGGCCGCTCCCCGGCCTGCGGGAGAGACGCGCGGCAGCACTGAGAGCACCGGCGTAACTAGCGGACTAATGCCTGCGGGAGAGACGCGCGCACTGCCCGGTATGCAGCAGCACGGAGGGAGATTGAACTAGCGGACTCATGCCTGCGGGAAGACGAGGACGTTGAGCAGCTCGGCCTCCATCAGCTCCGGCAATTCGACGAGATCAACGAGGCGGATATCGCCGGCGTGCAAGCACCTATTAGTGAGTGTGTGGATGAGTGAGGTCATCGATCAACGAAGCGGAGACCGGCGGCGTGCAAGCACGGGTTGCGGACGAAGAAGGCACGGCCGGTGATCACACGGGAGTAGTACTCGCTGGTGCCCGGGATGCGGTATCGCTCGCGAAGGAACATCTGGTTCTCCCGCAGCACGCCCCGCTCGTCGAGCACGCCGTGGGCGAGGCGGCTGTTCTCGACCGGCAGGTGGCACTTTGAGCGAAGCAGCTCGAGCCGGTGCAACCGGACGGCCAGCACGATCGCGCGCAAGTGCGGGTCCTCGGAAAGAGGGCCGCCTACTCCCGAGTGATCTCGCGTACCCTCGGCCGCTCAAGATGGCGCGGGCCCCGCCCGCCAGAGAGCCGCCCGGGAGCTGCAGCGCCTCCATCGCCACCGCCGCCGCGCCCCCCGGCTCGGGGCTGGAATGCTCCAGCAGCGCGGCCTCGTGCGGCGCGCGCTCTCCGTCCTCGATGGCGGTGTTTGCCGCGCGCTGCGCCTCGCGCTGGAAGAAGGTGAGCAGCGTGTGGTCGGGCACGCCTAGTCTCCGTCAAGGGAAGGGAGGGATGCTCACTGCTGACATTAACTCAGGCGAGCAGGGGAGGGTGTAGTCGGGCGCCTCGCGTCGAAAGCAGCATGATGACCTCGCGGTTGAGGTGGCCTGTTCACAGCTAACGTCGTGACGAGGCGGCTGGTCAGAACAGCATGATGACCTCGCGGTTGAGGTGGCCTGGCAGGCAGCGAGCCACCTCGTTCACCTCGAGGGAGCACTCGTCAGACGCAAATTTGATCTGCGACGGCCGCAGCCGCAGCCTCCGCCCCTCGAGCCGCGTGTCGAGACTCACCATCCCCTTGGTCCCTCCAAACCGGATCTGCAGCGCCGAGTGCATCATCTCGCCTATTAACTAACGACTCGCTTTAATGACGGCCGATCGAGCGGATCTGCAAGCGCCGAGTGCATCATCTCGCCTATTAACTAACGACTCGCTTTAATGACGGCCGATCGAGCGGATCTGCAAGCGCCGAGCGCATCATCTCGCCAGGCGCGTCGAACATCTGGAGCGTCAAGTCGGGCGGTTAGTTGAGACTGAGCAGTTCTCAGGGCGTGGCTGCGGCCTCCGAACCAGCGCCTGGAGCACCAGGTCGCGCGAGGCAGTAGGAGTGTCTAGGAAGTGTCTAGGAAGTGTCTCGGAAGTGTCTCGCCTGGAGCATCAGGTCGCGCGAGATCGTGCCGCAGCCGTCCGAGAAGGTGAAGGGACCTCGCCGCACCTCGGCCATCTCCTCCCACCAGCCTTGGTAGCCGGGCTCGACCTCCCCCCCTCCCGCGGGGCCGCCCCCCTCACCCCGCAACACGCGCAGTGTCGCCACCGTTGTCGAGAAGCACTGGCCGATGCGGGCGACGAGCCGAGGCGCCTCGTGCAGCCCAACAACAGCCAATCATCAACAACTTGACTGGTGGCTAGTGAGTAGTTCGCCGGAGCGCGCCTCGTGTAGCCCCGACAGGTCGCCCATCGAGGTGAGAAGGCGAGGGACCTAACCTCGGGCCATCTCGGCTCATCGCGGCTCATCTCGGCCCAGCGAGGTGAGAGGGCGAGGGACCGTGAGCTGCCCCTCCTCCGCCAGCATCCAGCAGCCCCCCTCCTTGAACTGGGCACTGCTCGAGCCTATGAACTGATGACTACTCAATTACTTGATCAGGATTGACTGGGTAGCGTGCTTGGACGGACGCTGCTCGAGCCGAGGTACTTGAAGGTGCGCCCGCCCACGACCACGCCGTGCGTCAGCACCTCGCGCACCTTCACCGCAGGTCCAGGAGTGAGGAGCCCTCCCCTCACTGGCTTCTCCAGCCAGCACCTCGCGCACCCGCTCCCGGTACGACTCGGCCTCGAGCAAGCCTACGCACGCCTTCGCACCGAGTGAGGAGCCCGTCCACTGCTTGCAGGGCACGACTCGAGCAAGCCTCGGCATCGACTCAGCGGCTCTAGCGACTCGTCCGCAAAGGAGCAACGCAGCAGCCGCTCCGTGCTCCCCTCCTGACGCGCGGTCGCTGAGCTGTGAAGGAGAGGAGAAGGAGGGGACGCAGCAGCCGCACCGTGCTCCCGCTCCTGCTCGGCCACCCACCGCACCGCGTGACTCGACACCTCCCACTCCGAAGGAAGAGCGACGGTCCGTAGCGGAGTCACGACCACCCGCCGCACCTGACCGGACGGTGCGGTGTGAAGAGACGCTGCGTCACACCGCAGGGGCGTCACGACCAGTCGCCGCACCTCGCAGCGGCCCGCCTCTCCCGCCGTCTCCCCTCCCCCGCCCGCCCGGTCCCAAGCCGCCCAGCCCTCTCCACGCCCCCCGCCCCGCAGCCTCCGCCTCTCGAACCAGCCGCACCACTCGAGCAGCTCCTGCGCTGCGTCGCGGCCTCCCCCTCCCCCTCCCCGCTCGTGGTCAGAAGCGAGGCTCGCCTAATCTCGCGCACCCTCGCGTCATCTCCGCCGATCTCCCCCCCCCGCCGCGAGCCAAGCGCTCAACATCTTTGCTCGCCATGACGCGCAGCGAAGACTGCGCGACGGCGGCGTCCGTGCCTCGCAGCCTCCGCACAAGCTCGGGCGTCACCTCCGCCGCCGTCATCGCGCCGCGGCTGAGGAGCACCTGCAGTCCGAGACGCGCCGAGAAGCGCTGAGATGCGCCGAGATGCGCCGAGATGCGCCGAGATTCGCCGAAGTGTCGACCGGCTGCGGCGCACCTCGACCCCGTACCGGACAGCGAAGGGCAGGCTGGACAAGTCGCAAGCGGGGGGCGCCTCGGAGGGCGCGGACATCCCCGCGCGCGAGAGAGGGGAGAGCAGCCCTGAGGCGTCGAGAGACCTGTGGTCAGAGGAGAGTGAGTCAAGGCCGGCGGACTTTTGATCGCCGCGAGAGCAGACTCGCTCCGAGAGACCGCTTCAGCCGCCCGACCCGGTCGCCTCGCGCCTGCTCACAGCTCGGCCTGTGAGGAGACCTCTTCGCAGCTTCAGGCTGCCGACCCCCTCCCCTTGACACCGGCAGCACTACCCGCGCGCTCAAGGCGCGCGAGAGCCAGCCTGTTCACACTTGGAGCTGTGAAGAGACGCTCTTCACACCGCCGCCTCGGGCAAGGAGCCGCCCCACCGCCTCTCCCCGACGGGTCGGCACAGCTTCGCACCCAACCGCCCCTGCTCCTCCCGCCACCTCCTCCTCCGCCTCCTCCGCCTCCCCCTCCTCCTCCGCCGCCGCGCCCACCGCCTCCGCCGGCCCCTGCCTCCGCAGCCAACTCGACGGCCGGCGGCTCACTTGCGGTGAAGAGGAGCGTGGCGCGGCCAGCGCTCACGTCAACCTCCACCCCCTCCCGGGCGAGACCTATTAATATCACTAGACTAGTGACTAGTGACTAGTGACCAGTGACTAGTCCACCCCCTCCCGGGCGAGACCTCCCCCCGCGAGGTGCTGCTGCGGCGGGCTGCCCGCCGCCGCCCCTCGGCCCGCAAGACCGAGAAGCGACCGGAAGGGCCACGAGAGGCGGATGGTGCGCCCGCCTGCATACAGGAGAAAGAGCAGCCGTCACCACGACCGCCCCTCGTCGCAACGATGGCCGGACTCTCGATAGAGGGGGGGGGGTTTGAGGCCGCCCGCCCAACCAGCCCGCTCTGGGGGACGACTCAAGGGCTGCCATGTAGCGAACGGGGGCAAGTAGCGGACGGGCGCGCGCCTGTCCGCGCCAACGTCACACGCAGCAGACGCAGCGTCGGGTCGACCGCCACACACAGCCGCGTCGCCTCCGCCTGAATCGTCAACTCGTGATCAACTACATAGCGATTAGGACCGCCACACACCGCCGCCGCGTCGCCCCCGCCTCCTGCCAAGCGACCAAGAAGGACTCCTCCGGCCAAGAAAGACTCCTCCTCCGCCGGAAGCCAAGCTGGAAGGCCGCATCTGGGCTCGCGGGCGCCGCGAGCTCCGCCACAGCCCCGGCCTCTCCCCTCTCCCCCCGCTCGACTGCCCTCGCCGCCCTCGCCGCCTCTGCCTCCGCCCCCTCCCACCTCTCCTCCGCGGCACGCCCGCGGCGCACGCGCCGCATCAGCTCCGCCGCCCCGCTCTCCGCCCCCGCCTCGTCCGCCGGAGGAGCGAGCCACGCACCCGGCTGCGGCGGGCGCTGCTCCACCGCCTCCATCTCCCGCACCTGCTCACAGTGTGAACAAGCTACGCTTTCATTAGCGCTGGCGCAGCGCCGCCGCCTCGGCCGCCTCCCGCGCCTCGCCGTCGCTCACGTACCTGCAACGCACCCCCGCCCGCTCGCCTACCAGCGGCGCATGATCACATGCGATCGACGTTGGTTCATGACTAGTGACTCTTGGCGTGCCCCGCTCGCCTCCCTGCAAGCACCACACGCCGCCGACCACGTCGGGCATACCTCCGCGGTAGGGGCTGACTGAGCGAGAGCCGCGCAGCAGCAGCACCGGCCGGCTAGTCTGCTCCCAGCTCCGCTTGATCGACCACTGCTTCTCTCCGCCCGACTTGTGGGCCGCCAAGAAGAAGGTGGGCCCCGCCGCCGCCTGCCGCCTCCACACCTGCAGCCCCGCCTCTGCGCGTGGCGCCGGCAGGTACACCCCGAGCAGCTGCGCCACATCCTCCGAACCGCCAGGGGGCAGCGGCGGGCCAAGGGGCGGTGGCGAGCCAAGGGGCGGCGCGGAGCCAAGGGGCGGCGGGAAACCAGCCTCCCACTCGACCACGAAAGGTAGTACCGCGTACTGCGACGGCGGCGGCGGCGGCAGTTGCGACGGCGGCGGCAGTTGCGACGGCGGGGGCGGCAGCGCCGTACCGAATGTAGACGCGTCGCTTGCAGATGCGTCGCTCGGCGACGCGCCACTCGCGGCTACAACCGCCGTCTCCCTAGCTGGCGTGAACTTCAGCGCGAGCGAGCGCACACGCACGTCAAGGCAGCCCGCTCGGACGGCGCCATACATCTCTCTCTCCATCTGCTCGAGGGCGGGCTCAAAGCCGGCGATCGACTGCACCTCGGCGGAGAAGAAGCGCTTGAGGCTCCTCACAGTGCCCGGCAGATCGAACGACTCCTCCGTCGCCGCCTCCGCCGCCTCCGCCGTCTCCGCCGCCTCCGCCGCCTCCGCCGCCGCCTCCGCCGCCGCCGCGGCCGCCGCCGCCGCCGCTGCCGCCGCTGCCGCCGCCGCCTCCGCCGCCTCCGCCTCCGCCGCCACCCTTCTTACCTCCGCCTCCGCCTCCGCCTCCGCCACCCTCCTCGCCTCCGCCTCCTCCGCCTCCGCCGCCGCCGCCACCCGCCGCACCTCCTCTTCCTCCGCCGCCGCCTCGGCCGCCGCCGCCGCCTCCGCCACCTTCTTCGCCTCCTCCGCCTCCGCCGCCTCCACCACCGCCAGCAACGACGCCTCATCGACACCACCTGCCGCGTCCGCGTCCCTCTCTGCCGCCGCCGCCGCCTAATTGTCCAGATCGAGATATCAAGAACGAATCATTTGACTCCCACTGCTCAGCCACTGGGCGGCCGCCAGCGCCTGACTGGGCCCAGCCCCTCCGCTGTTGGCGGCGACACGTCCGCCGCCGCCGCTGCAGACTGCGCCTCGCCTCTCGGCGTCGCTTGGCGCAGAGGCCGCCTCGGAGCCGGCGCTGCTCGGCACTGCCCTCGCCTTGCCCCCCACCGGCGCCTTGCCACCGTGTCGTGCAGCCGGGAGGGCGTCGCCGCTGCCCCCTCCGACCCCCCCGGGCGGCGGAGGCGGGTCGCCGGGCTCCGCATCGCCTGGAGAATCGATCAACCAGCTGCTCAGGTTAAGTACTCAGGCGGGACCGGGTCGGGCGAGCTTCGCGTCGCCCTGCATGAGCACCCACTCCGCCGCCGCCTCGGCAGAGCGATTGGCGACGGCGAGCGCCGCGCGGCGCGAGAGAGGGAGCGGGAAGCCCATCCCGATTAGGTGCGCGATGATGGCATCGTCAGCCTCTCCGCTGCCCCGCTCTCCGCTGCCCAAACTGCCACTGCTCGCCCCGCCGGCACGCGCCTCCGCCTCCTGCTTCGATGCCTCCAGTGCCGCGAGGAGCTCCTCGTCGCTGTCGCCGCCTGGCGCCGCGGCATGCCCGCTCGACGTGCCGCCGCCTCCCGGCCCGCCGCCTCCCCTGCTGCTGCTCTGCTGCTCGAGACGGGAGAGGGAGAGAGCACGCTGGAGGTCACTCTGCTCCTTGAGGTGGCGGGAGACCGTCTCGCGCTCCAGCCGGCTCTGCTCGTCCGACGCATAGGACTGCAGCCGCTCGCGTTGCGCTCGCCGCTGCTCCTCCCGGCCAAGATTGAACTCGGCTTTCGACATTCTCGCTCGCTCAGCCTGGTCGACGTCTGTCTGGTAGCACTCCCTGTTCTTGGCTTCGCGTATCTCCGCGGCTCTCCGTTTCCTCTCCGCTTCCTCCCGCCGTTTCCTCTCCGCCTCGTGCCTCTTCTTTTCGATCTCTCGCGTCGCGCTCAGCCCCGCCTGGTACTGCACCGTCCGCTCCTGCCGCTGCCTCTGCTCAAGTCGGCTCGACTCCGCCTCCCGCCTTTGCGCCTCGGCTGCGGCAGCCTCGCGCTTGGCCTCGACCGCGTAGAGCGCCTCGAGGTCTGGGTTCATATTTCGTGCCGTGTGATTGTCGTGGCAACCAGCCCGGTCAGCGGCTCGGAAATAACGGCGCGGGCCGTCAGCGGAGCTGGGAAAAGGACCGCCGCAAGCGGCGTGGCGTGGAGCGGTTGAGCATCCCTCCGGGGGCCCCTCTGCGCCGGGGAGGCGTTGTTGGAGGCTAGGACGCAAGCGTCCGTCGCCCTTTTCAAACTCGGGGCCCACTCCGCTACGCTCCGACCCGAATTTGGAGGGCCTAAAAGTTTAAGGTGTTGCTGCGCAAAAGGGGTCGGACACAGGGCGCAGCTCATGCTAAGAGCTAGAAGGGGAGCTAGAGAGAACGACTACCCTGTCCCGTTATTGCGTACACCAACACCACAAAAGCTCTCTCTCTCCTGTCCTCACTCAGAGGGGGGTCACAACTACCGAGTCTCTCGACTAGCTGCCACGTTGCCGACGGCGAGAGCGGATCTCCTCCTGCTCCGCAAGGAGGGTGGCCAAGCAAGGCTAAAGTCTTGCCGGAGCCGCCGGGCGTGTTGACGACTTGGAGAAGGTCGCCCTTGTACTTGTGCTTGTAGAGATGCTCGAGGGGGTGCTTAGTGGGGCGGTGCGCAGCCAGGCCAGCAGTGAGGGGAGGCGCACCCTCACTCTCCTCGGTTGCAGAGCTCGTCGGAGGCTGCGTCACGACGGGAGGGTCGCGACAGCAGTCCTCGGGCGAGCCGACGCGCATGTCCAACCAGCCCCCCCCCCTCCAGTGCTCAAGTCTGAAGTGAAAATCCTTTCAGTCCTCGTTCCAACAGTGTCGCAAGGCCAAGGAACTCGTACGTCCCCCGGCGCAAGCTACTCCTTTCGACAAATGGCAGACGCTACAGGCGTCGTGCTCGTCCTGTCCACTCTTGGAGCTCTGTACCGCTGGCCGAAGCTGAGGCCGGTGCCTGCTCGCCTGCTCGGATGGTTCGGAGGCCTCTTCGTCGCGCTGTTTGCCCTGACGATTCTTTGCTACGTTGTTGCGGACGTCGAAGCATTGCAAAAAACAAGCCCTCTCTACACCGCTGCCCAAGCCGGTAACCACCCTCGAGTCGTCGAGCTTCTCCAGTACCAGCATGTGCGCAGCGATATCGACGTGGGCAGGCGGAGTGGCCTTGGCATGCTCCTCTCGCAAACGCCGCTGTTTGCTGCCGCCGAGAATGGCCACACGGAAGTGGTGGCGGCGCTTCTGAAGGCGGGCGCCAACGCGAACACTCCCAACACGCTTGGCCTCGGCATGCTCGAATTACACACGCCGCTGCATGATGCCGCCCAGAGAGGCCACACAGGGGTGGTGGCGGAGCTGCTGAAGGCGGGCGCCAACCCGAACACTCCCCTCACGTTTGACGGCGTGCTCGTCTCGGACACGCCGCTGATTGCTGCCGCCTGGAATGGCCACACGGAGGTGGTGGCGGAGCTGCTGAAGGCGGGCGCCAACCCGAACACTCCCGTCACGCTTGGCCTCGGCATGCTCTTCTCGGAAACGCCGCTGCGTGCTGCCGCCCGGAATGGCCACACAGGGGTGGTGGCGGCGCTGCTGAAGGCGGGCGCCAACCCGAACACTCCCTTCACGCTTGGCCTCGGCATGCTCGCCTCGGGCACGCCGCTGTTTGCTGCCGCCGAGAATGGCCACACGGAAGTGGTGGCGGCGCTGCTGAAGGCGGGCGCCAACCCGAACGCTCCCTTCACGGGTGGCCTCGGCATGCTCTTCTCGGAAACGCCGCTGCGTGCTGCCGCCCGGAATGGCCACACAGGGGTGGTGGCGGCGCTGCTGAAGGCGGGCGCCAACCCGAACGCTCCCTTCACGGGTGGCCTCGGCATGCTCTTCTCGGAAACGCCGCTGTTTGCTGCCGCCCAGAAAGGCCACACAGAGGTGGTGGCGGAGCTGCTGAAGGCGGGCGCCAACCCGAACACTCCCAGGACGGAGGGCCTCGGCTTGCTCGCCTCGGAAACGCCGTTGCATGCTGCCGCCAAGAAAGGCCACACGGAGATTAAGGCAATGCTGCTGAAGGCTGGTGCGGACTTTCGTTTATAAAATTCTTTTTTGCGTAACGAAAGAAAGAAAAAACTGACAACCCCAGGGAGGGATGGGAGGACGGCTCGCCGCCACCACAGCCGGAGTCCGCAAAATTCTTTCTTCCCGGCGCAAAAATTATTTTGCCGTCCTCGCGGCTGGGACTCGTTGTGACGGCAGACGCCGGCTGCCTCTCCAACCGCTTCTGCAGCGTCCTTCTTTGCCCGTGCATGGGCTCGATCCGATTCCGCAGCGTGTCGTCCCCAGCGGCGGTGCTGCGCGGGAGGCGGCCGCGGGCACGCTGGGCTCGATCAGCTTTCCCAGCACGGATTTGGCGGACGTTCGTGGCTTCAATTTTACGTTTGTCTTGGCACCAGCTGAAGGCTTGCCCCCGTCCACGGCGCAGATCGCCGGATTCGTGCACGGTATTCGGATTTTGCTATTTGCTCGTGTGGGGGTATATTGCAGATTTGTCAATGGTACCGCGTCTGCGACGCGGGCGCCTTGCGAGCAGAGCCCTTAGGACACCCTTTATATCTTGCGCGGTCATAAAGAATAACTTCTAAATTGCCCGGCCGCGGGTTGCTGCGCAAACTTTTCTGTGCGAAGGTTCGCGCTGCGCTAGGCTCAGAGCGAGTTCGCGCTGCGCTAGGCTCAGACGGCGAGCTCGCGCGCGCGCGCGCGCGCACACACACACACACACACACACACACACACACACACACACACACACACACCACACCACACCACACAAGAAGAGATTTCTTGTTGGTCTTTAAAAATCTCTCTCTCACCACACAAGCCACAAGCCACAAGCACAAGGTGGTGGGGCAGGGGGGGGGGGGGGGAGGTCCTCGCGCTAGCTATAGGCTGTATGCATACAGAGCCGACACACAGAGCTAAGCAAAAGGGTGGTGCGAAGCCCGCTCCACCTATCTGTAGCCGAGTGAAAGGCGAGGGTGTGTCGCTATTCCAGTCAGTCGTCGGCAAAGATGACGCCGGCGGGGAGGTGGATGGAGGCGAGGGCGGGGCAGTCGCTGAAGGCCGTGCCGCAGATAATAGAGGTGACGCTGGGGGGGAGGTGGATGGAGGTGAGGGCGGAACAGTAGGCAAAGGTGCAATCGCCGATAGAGGTGACGCCGGCGGGAAGGGCGACGGAGGTGAGGGACACGCAGCACTCGAAGGCGCCGCTGCTGATGGAGGTGACGCTGGCGGGGAGGGTGACGGAGGCGAGGGAGGAGTAGCTGCACCTCCTCGCCGATGGAGACGTCACGACGCCGACGGGAAGGGCGACGGAGGTGAGGGCGGTGCAGCAGTGGAAGGCGTAGTCGCCGACGGAGACGAGGCTGCTCGGGAAATCGACCGAGAGAAGAGTTGTGTTGAAATCACGACCGAGAGAGTATAGAGCATGTGTCCGAGAAGGCCCGGCTGCCGATGGTGGTGAGGCCCTCCGGCACAGTGGCGTGCCCCTGCGCGTCGGTTGGAGGCCGCGTCACGGCCCAAAAGTTGACGGCCAACACGGCTGGCCTCGCCTCGTCATCGAGAGGGCAGTCGACGAAAGCCAATCCCCAATCGAGAACGCCATCGGGCAGCGGCGTGATGGAGGTCACAGGGAGGAGCAACCTTGGAAGGCGCCGTGGCCGATGGAGACTTGGAGACGAGGGCGGCAGGGAGGGCGACGGAGACGAGGGAGGAGCAGCGACGGAAGGCTTGCCGATGGAGGCGAGGGACGTGCACCCCTCGAAGGCATCCCTGCCGACGGAGACGAGGCCGGCGGGCAGGACGATGGAGGTGAGGGCTGTGCACTCCCAAAAGGCGCCCCGGTAGATGTTGACGAGATTGGCCGGGAGGTGGATGGCGGTGAGGGAGGGCAGCCATGAAAAGTGTCCTCGTCGATAGAGAGCAAGCCGGCGGGCAGGTCGACGTGGAGATCAGGGCGGAGCAGTCGGTGAAGGCGCCGGCTCCGATGGAGACGAGGCCGGCAGGCATGCCGGCAGGAAAGGCGACGCGGGCCAAGGAGGAGCAGCCGGCGAAGGCTTCCTCGCCGATGGAGACTAGGCTGGCGGGGAGGTTGATGGCGGCGAGGGAGGAGCAGTGGAGGAAGGCGCCCTCGCCGATGGAGACGAGACTGCTCGGGAAGGAGACCGAGACGAGAGAGGAGCGAGCGAGACGAGAGTCAGCGTGCAGGCAGTCGAGACGAGAGAGGAGGTGCGGGTCCCGCGGCAGGTGCGTCATGCCTTCGGGCAGCACCGCGTGCCCGTCGGTGACGATGACCTGCCAGCCGTCGTCGAGCTCCACAACCTCGCAGCCGGGCGGCGGCGCGGCGCCGCTCGGCGGCGGCGACGACTGCTCGAAAGAGGCGGGGAGAGACGCCGACTCCATCCCCGCCGCCGCTGCCGGATCCTCCGTCTCCATGAGCGCCTCCTCCTCCTCCGCCGCCGCCGCCGCCTCCGCCTCCGCCTCCGCCCCCGCCGCCCCCTCCGCCCCCGCCGCCCCCGCCCCCTCCGCCCCAGCCTCCTCCGCCGCCTCCGCCGCCGCCTCCGCCGCCGCCCCTCCGCCGCCGCCGCCGCCTCCGCCGCCACCGCCCCCTCCGCGGGCTCGCCGAGCAGCAGTCCGTACAGACCTTGGGCCGGGGCGGCTAGGATTCCGTGTTCTTTTTTTCGCTAACGCAAACTCTCCTGCGAGTGACGTGTCGGGCGCGTGCACTGCGCTCGAAAGTCGCGATTTGGCCATAGGTGCTCGAGCCGGCG